AGATTTCTTAAATGCAAGTATCAAGTATCTCAACAACAAAAAATGTAAATTCAAGTATCTCAACAACAAAAATGTATCTATTTGAGCATCAGTCAGCTATAGATCCTCAAATCTCTGAATTCATGCTGGCACTGTCCTTCCTTCTGGGTGACTACATTTGTTCCCCATGGTCCCTGTGTGAGTTAAAGTGGCCACCGCTCCTAGATCTCACCTGTGATATACTGTAATCTCAATACAAAAGAGTCAACTAAACATGATAGTCCATCACGGGAGGGAGCTTGGAACGGTGACTACCTTACAACACACAAAGGGACCATGGGGAACATGGTAGCCACCATCCAGAAGGAAGGACAGTGTCAGCACCAATACAGAGATGATTTGAAAATCTACAGCCAAGTGATACAAAGAAGATATGTTTTTTGTTGGAGAACTATGAGGTGAGTGCTTTTCACTCATCTCATAGTTCTAGCCGACCTGTGACAATGAGACTGTCACAGGTCGGCTCAGTAGATCGGGAAGTGAGCGAACACATACCGGCGTTCGCTCACCTCTCGATCCTGTCACAGCTCTCTGCCGTGACAGGGGAGGGGCTTGATTTCCCCCTCCCCGCTCCGCCAGCGCTGACTGGCGGAACGGACGAGGGAGAGGGCGGGTACAGCTGGCTCTGCCGTTAGATAGCCTATATACACATAGGTGTTATGGCTATAAATGTTTAAAGCTATTTTTTCTTTTAAATTTAACAAGGTACTGAGAACAGTATATGAAAACGATGGGAGGTTATGAGGAACACACCCCTCCCCCCCCAAACTGTTCTTTCAGAAACATTTAAATAGACCAATATTTATAAAAAAAGTTAAATAAAAAAAGTCAAGTCAACCAAGAGGGATATATGCTTTACCTGCCAAGGGTTTGAGTTGTAACCATTCCGCATCTGATCTCCGATTCAGTTTGTGATCGGATAACTTTCTCCCAACTGTGGACTCATCAACTTTAGGCTTCCGTCTTACCCTGCCTTTAATTCCCTAAAAAAAAGAGAAAGTAATTGTAAACCAGCTAAATAAAAATGATCACAAATCCCACTGTTACCTGTGCAACTGAGGCCCAACATAAGTGGTTATATAATGAGCTCCCACAAACAAATGCGGCCATCATCCAAATACATTTTTACTTCAACTCTGTGCAAACAGATATTGATCAGTTGTGGGATTTAGAGTATAACCATCCATCCAATACAGAGATCATTATATTAGCTCAACACTTGAATCTGCCACAAAGCAACCAATCTATGCTTTATTTTATCCTGCACAAGTCTCAATACATTTTAGTTTTTTTTTTTGCAGACATCGATGACATTTAAATGTCTTAACTTTAAATATTAGATCTGCAGGTAAATATAAAAAAAGGTTGCATACAAAAATGAAACCTTTATTAAAAGTACACTAGGGGCAGCAATGTTTTCATGCAAAAGATTAATTCAGTGGAGTAATTGTCCTTTACTGGTTACTTAATGGTTGTCTATTTCAGACTATTTTGGGGCGACATATCAGCATTGTTTATGTAGAAATTCTAGTGCACACACGAGAGCAGCAAAGAAAAACATTAAAAAGGTAAATATATTTGAGGCAAAATGTACATTGCTCAATTCGTTCTACATAAAAAAAGGTCAACAATAGCCTACCATTAAACCTTAGTTTTTTTTTTTTTTTATCATTTCTATTTATGGGGGCTAGACTTAAAAACATTTTTTATTCACATTCTCTTGGGGGTATCCAAGCTGCCACCCCTACCTGTACGGGTGCTTCCATCAGCTAGCCAGCTGCTGTGGAGTCCCCCATGTGTGCACGCTCACAGACATGCCTGCACCTAGATGTGTGCGCCCACGCCCACGCCCACCCTTGCAGTCACAGATGGACGGCAGAAAGAGCCTATGGCTCCTCGGCCCTCAGTACCCTCCCCCACAACCAGGAAGTTCTGGGAACCCAGAGCATCTTCTTGGTCGCAGCTGATACAAGTGGCTGCAGGCAAATTGTGTGGGGGACAGGAAAGGGTTTAGAAAAAAGGTACTGGGTGTTTTTTGCCTTAATGGAGAGGGGGCGAACCCCCACACAACCACCCAAACATTTTCCTCATTTGAGAGCACAAGCCTCTATTGCCTCAGCCAAATCCCATACGGCCATACGGAGATTACGGTGCTTGAAGATCTCTGCCAGACACAGCCAACTACCAAAATAGTAGGAAACCGGCACTTTGTAGCATTCTCTTGAAATCCTTATTAATATGGCAAAAAACAGTTGTAAAGTGTATGGGCAGCTTTACACTTGCAAAGTCAGGGATTTTGTAGGATTAGAGTCAGGTGTATGATTAACCAATTATACCAGGCAGGTGCTAATCATCAATTTCATATGGAAGTTAAAAACAAACAGTCATTATCTTAAACAGCTATGTAGGAGGCTTAAACTGGGTGCGGAATAGCCAAAGTCTGCTAGTAAAGGTGAGGTTGTGGAAGACAGTTTCATGTCACAGATCATACACTATGGCGAGGCAGAGCATAGCAACAAAGACAAAGTAGTTATATCGCATCAGCAAGGTCTCCAACAGGGAAAGATTTCAAATCAGGCTTGGGTTTCAGTGGTCGGCCAAGGAAACAATGCAGCAGATGAAAGACATCAAGCTTAGGTCCCTTTGACATCGGGAGATGTCCAGCAGTACCATCAGCACTGAACTGGCGGAAACAAGTGGGACCCAGGTACACCCATCTACTGCCCGGAGAAGTCTGGTCAGAAGTGGTCTCCACTGAAATAGAATTGCGGCCAAAAAGCCGTACCTCTGACTTGGAAACAATGCTAAGTGACTTAACTATGCAGGAAAAAGTAGGAACTGGAATGCAGAAAAATGGCAGCAGGTGTGCTGGACTGAGGAGTCAAACTTTGAAATATTGGGCTGCAGCAGGAGGCAGTTTATCTGCTGAAGGGCTGGAGAGCGGTCAATAATGTATGTCTGAAGTCAACAGTAAAGCATGGTGGAGGTTCCTTGCAAGTCTGGGGTTACATTTCTACGAAAGTTGGAGATTTGGTCAGGATCAATGCTGACAAATACAAGCAGATACTTATCCATCATGCCATATCAAAGAGGCATGCGATTGGCATGAATTTATTCTGCAGCAGGACAACGACCCAAACATACAGCCAATGTCATTAAGAACTACCTTCAGCGTAAAGAACAAGGAGTCCTGGAAGTGATGGTTTGGACCCCACAGAGCCCTGATCTCAAACATCGAGTCTGTCTGGGATTACATGAAGAGAGAGAAGGATTTGAGGCAGTCTACATCCACAGAAGAGCTGTGGTTAGTTCTCCAAGATGTTTGGAACAACCTACCTGCCAAGTTCCTTCCAAAACTGCGTGCAAGTGTACCTAGAAGTATTGATGATGTTCTGAACGCAAAGGGTGGTCACACCAAAGATTGATTTGGATTTATCTTGTTAATTTACTTTCCACTTTGTAAATTAATAAAAATAAACTAATTTGACACTTATTTCTGAAAGCACTTACTTTACAGCATTTTCGCACACCTGCCTAAAAAACTTTTGCACAAAAACAGGCACATATATTATACATATACACACACGCGCCAATTTAGCTTCATGATAGACAAGTGAACAATTCTAAAACAGTAGGACGTACCCTTTGATCATTATAGTGTTTAAACATTCGAAGACAGTGCTCAACTATAAACAAAAGATAAATGCCACCAAGTGCAACTAGGCCTTTCATAACACGGTCGTACTCCACCAGAAACTCCTTCTCTTCTCCCGGGTCTTTACTGTGCTTGTGCCCAGACTCCTCGGAACCATGATCGTGTCCACCCTGTGACTACACAAGAAAAAAAAAAAAGGAAACCGTTAAAAATAAAAATTTTATGAAAAACCCTTATATCTTATAAAGTAGGAAATTAAAAACGTGATTAGTTCTTGGATCTTTTTTTAACCGATTCCAGTTTCTTGGCAGAGATCAATATATTGCCCCCAAAAGAATTATGAAAATACAAATCTTTGAGAGCCAGTTCTGATTTTTTTTTTTTTTTATGCGATTTCAGAATTATTTCTTCAAAAAGCACTCCGATGTAGTTGCACCGTGTCGCACCACGCTCTGCTAAAAAAAAATTACTGCATGCAAGAAGCCCTTTTTTCAGCACACACCAAGACATCTCTGTGAACCAACAGGTGGAGGTTTTCATGTTTTGTAGGTTCTGTTACTTTGCTGATAAAACACTGTTGACAGAACGCCACCACTCAAACGGAAATTTACATTTCAAATTTCAATACATAAAGAGTGCAAGTAATGATGCCCTAGAGTACACCAATACAAGATGCACAGTGCTAAAATAGAGTGTAAATAGTGATCCGCCACTATACAGATAAACACATGATTTATGTTAGTGTATTTATCAATATACAAGAACAAATTTAAGTCCATATAAAACATGACAATCAATACTGGGTTGATTTCCAAAAGTGATGCTTCCACCTTCAACCATGTTTAATACCTTTCCCCATCCGTGTGCATCACCCTGGTCAAACTGTGCCTGAGACAGGGACCCTAAGTGGCCCCGAAACGTTGCTTATTGTTCACAAGATGTACTCATGCAAAAAAAAAAAAAAAAAAAAAACCTGCTCAAATCCTGTTTTAATAAAGTGATAAAGTGTGTTTTTATTGAGTTACAATATGAATCTTTTTAATGTATCTTACCCCTGAGTGATTTGGAGCATGGTGGAGAAGCAAGGTATTAATTTATCATCAGAGACATGAAATGGAGCATCGCAGCTGTAGGAGACACAAGATTGCAACTTAAAGAAGGCGTATTCTTGTGGGTGCTTTTTGACCATTTTCTGCTAATGAGCCACCTCATCTGGCGAGTGCGTTTTTCGATTAGGGTGATGTATATAGATGAGGAAGCTATTAAAATCAGTTGAAGGTGGACCATCACATTTCAGAAATCAACCCAGTATTCTGCCATATGTTCATATGGACAATTTTGATGGTTCAATGAATATGGAGTAAAGTTTGTTTTGTAGATTAACAATTTTTTTTACATGTTATGGTGTATTTATCGGTATAGTGGAGGATCGCCATGTACACCATTGTAGCACTGTGCACTTTATATCAGGGCACTGTAGGGTATCATTAACTGCACTTTTTATAGCACCAAACTGTCATGATGTTTGGACAACTTTCCAATGCCAAAATAATTAGTTTCACTTTTAGACCAAGCCAAATGGCTGCCTAGTCTTGTGAGGTGCAATCTGGGAGAATGTTGCCTTAATCTGCAACAGACTGGAATAAAAAAAAATTAAAATAGATATATCTCCTCACTCATCCCCAGTCCTCATTTACTATATACCAAGGTTGAGAGATCACAGCAGAAGGCCCAACAGTGAGAACTGTGCACTAAGCCAAGAACATAAAGTCTACTGCGGAGTATTAGGATTACCATGATTGTAGTATGTCCAGGCCATCCTCTTATTTCAGGTAGCCAATGCTAATGCTGGATGATGCTTAAAATTAACTACAGTAATACAGTACCTTATTTGTGTATCACTCCGCTGTAGATCCTCAAATCATCTCTGAATTCATGCCGACACTGATCACAGAATCAAGCTTGGAGCGGTGACTACTTTACAACACACAGGGACCATGGGGGAACAGAAGCAGCCACCTTCCAGAAGGAAGACAGTGTCGGCACCAATTCAGAGATGATTGGAGAATCTACAGCCCAGTTAAGGTACTTGAATGCATTTTTAAGTTTAACGCCTGAGTTTAGGCAAAGATAGCACTAGCTTTTTCTGGAACAGAACTGCCAGGTTGCATTAAAAGGAGAACTATGAGGTGAGTGATTTCCACTCACCTCATAGTTCTAAGCCGACCTGTGACAATGAGACTGTCACAGGTCGGCTCAGTAGATCGGGAGGTGACAGAACACATACCGGGTTCCCTTACCTCTCGATCCTGTCACGGCTCTCTGCCGTGACAGGGGGAGGGGCTGGATTTCCCTCTCCCATCTGCCAGCGCTGACTGGCGGAACGGACGGGGGAGGGGGCGGGTACAGCTGGCTCTGCCTCTAGATAGGCAGAGCCAGCTGTCACTCACGCAGCTGGGCGGATCCCGTCAGCTAAGTCGGGATCCGCTCCAGGTGCGGCATCTCAGTATACCGCGAGCTGTAGCTCGCGGTATACTGAGCTTAGGGTAAGGGGAGGACGCTAGTTTGTGTCCTCCCGTTACCCCAAGGAGAACTATGGGGAAAAACACTGACCCCATAGTTCTCCTTTAAGTTCGCATTCAACTTTTTCAGATGTATATTTTTCTCTATTCACGTTAACTACTACTAAATGATACATTGAAACTTTGTAGATCTTTTCTAGACCATTAACATACATGGGGTAACAGATGAAGCAGTGCATCGCCACTTAATGTTCCCACAGCTATCGCAACAAGGAAATTCAAAAGGAACTTGAAGCAGCCTTGGTTAATAATTGGAATCAGGATAACTCCGAGCAAGGATAACAGGCTGATCACAGTGATGGAGAAGAAACCATAAAGCCACACTATAAAGAGAAGGAAAAAAATATAAGAGTCAGGAAGTGACAGCACCACATTAGAAAGTTTTATAGTTGTTCCTGCAATGAAGTAAACCTTTTAGTTACAATAAATATGCAACAGTTTAAGAGGAATGCATAATATATTGACAGTAACAGTTTGTGTAATTACATTGTATAGTTTGATAGTTTTTGATGTTGCCTTCCTATTTGATGTGATTGCTCTTCCATATCCATTAATAAACACACGTTTAGGATTAGCTACTAGAGGGAACTTTGAATTTGAATGCAACCACTTAGCCTCCCAGCTCAACTGTCACAAAAAGATGCAAGACCACCTAAGGAGTGCATTCTTTTGAGCAGTTTGGAAAACCTTTTGACTTGCATGGTCAAAAAGTAGTAGCAAAGTACAGAGGGCAATGCAAGTGTTGCTAAAAGTGGTCCTTAAAACAAACAAAAAAGCCACACACAAAACACACACTTTGTTGCTTTGCTGTCCTCCTGAGGCAATGACTTAGAGAACTATGGGGTCAGCGTTTTTCCCCATCGCACTGTGGGCGTGGGGGCGTCTGTGGTGCCAGACATGAATGGCAGAGACACGCCCCTACGTGGCCCAGCTTCATGTATGCTATCCAGTGTGTTCCCGGTGCGAACTGCAGCGTGACGCACTGGATAGCATGCATGAAGCTGGGCCGCGTAGGGGCGTGTCTGCCAATCATGTCGATGGCACCGCAGATACGCCGCCCCTCATCCACTGCGACCGCCCGCACCAGAACACGAGGTACCGGAATGTCAAACACGGATGATCGCACTGCAGGGGTGGAGGGCATATCTTGCCACCTGTTGGCTTCCTTGTACACGAGAGATGCAGATGATCAGTGAACATCCTTATGCTGATCTCCCCTGGGTAGTGTGAAGCTGGACGCACTCAGCTCTAAGACTTCCCACCACGTTCAGAGTTGCCAAACCATGGCCACTGTGTGCTCCATTAGCTTCAGACTGCAGAGGTGACGTTAGAGTCTAACTGCAGCCCAATTGCTTCTCAAATAGAACCTGTCACCTGCACTATGCCCAATTGATAGCAATATTTATTGATTTTTTTCCCCCCACTGACAACAAAAAAGGGAAAGGCTGACACCCCCCCCCCCCCCCCTCCCCTCCTGGCGTCATTAAGAGTCTGTATTGGAAGCATCAGGAGTAGTAAAGAGCAATCCCCCATTGAGCTTTGCTTACTAAAAAAGGTCAGATTCTTCTTTGTATCTGGGGTTTCATTAGCCTGGTTTTCCTGTGGGTTGGGGGGAAAAAATTCAATTATGAATTCTCCTCTTCTCAGAGAACTTCTTATCCTTCTCCGAGGACCTGGCTAGAACATTATCCAGACTTGATCCAAACACCAGACTGCCCACAAAGGGCAACCAATACACCCTAGACTTAAGTCCAAGACTTCAACCAAATAGCCTACCTAGCAGAATTCAGAAGAGCCCCCAACCTAGCACCGACTCCGCCGAAGCATCAGCTAAATAGGCCACAGCCTTGCCAACCACCGACGAGGATTCCAAAACGTGCTCTGACAGGGCCCCCTGGGAAATATGCAGAGACCCCTCACTAACAATAAATCAATATTTCTGGCAACACAAGTGGTTGCTACAGCTGGAGCCATAGAAGCAGCATTAGTATCCCAAAGCACTCTTAAGTAAGGCCTCTGCCTTAAGATCCATTTGATCTTTTATAATAGCTGCATGCGGCACACACCAGGAGTCAAGCAAAACAAACGACAAACACACTCAACAATTTGTCACCAGTTATACAGTAAGGTGCACACGAAATGGGCTTCGAACAGTAAAACAGTAGAAAGGCATCATGGCACACTCACAAACCAGCATGTAAAACAACTTGTCTCACCACTAAGGACAATGACAGAGGTTTGGATAGACGTCTTCTGCAGAGGATGTGAAAGCCGCACTGCCGCGCCAAGGCACCTCTTATAGTGCGGTCCTAACTCTAAACTATGAGAGTCTCCATCTTGGAGCACATGGGGGCAGAAGATATCAAATTGGGTGCAGGTTTGTCAGGAGGATGCCCAGCCTCCTTAAAAGCACAGAAACACACAAGGGATCCCGCACATCCCAATGGCAGCTGAGAAACCCACACACACCAGGAGTCACCCCCTGAAAACCAACATCGTGGCAAAAAACCTTCGATCACACGCAGGACAACAAGACAGACACCATGAGCAGAGCTGCACAGAGGGGGGACACTTGACCACACAGCCAAACTGGGCAGGAAAAAAACGAGATGTAGTCACGGACAATCTAAAGTAAAGGACGAGCGGGTGGAAGGGGTTTTTACACTTTTTTCAATTGTGTTTCGTGTAGAAGGAGGAAACAATCATCTCTCCCAGGTTGCAGTCCTGATAGAGGATTGGGGAAATTATTCTTTTTTTTTTTAATAAAAGGTGGGGGGGAAGGGAAGAAGAAAAAAAAAAAAAAAAATGTTTTCGGGCTAAAAATTTTATTGGCGCATCCCTACTTTATAGAAAAAAAAAAAAAATGGTTTCGGGCTAAAAATTCTATTGGCGCATCCCTACTTTATAGGTGTTTTTTTTTGTCTGGATCAACTGTAGGTAACTGAGCATAGGGCTCTGTTTATGGAAGTTTTTCTCTATGGGTTGAACTGGCTGGCCTTGTCAGGTTGAAAAAGGACACAACTATAAAGTAGCAATTGAGCTTTAGCCCTTCCACTGCCAAAGATGATTTTTCATAAATTAAAAAAAAAATTGACATTTTAGGCCTGAATACTTAAAGCAGAACTCAGAATAATTACTAACCCTTGCAATGGGGCTACTCCCACACTGCAAGGGCTAAGTAATCATTTTGGCTCAGGGAGGAAAATAAAAGTTGCTCACCCAATCCTCAGAGCCAGCTGGCTGTGACAGCACTCCCTCTCCTCCTCGGCAGCAATGGTATGTCCCTCGGTGTCCTCATGTCTTATACACTGTATAGAATGTGATGACTCATGAACTTTAGACCACTACAGTGAAGGGGGAGAGAGGCTCCAGGGACTGTTCTTAGAGCAAGCCAGGTCTGAGGATCAGGTGAGTATAACTCATTTAAAATAAGGCGAGTGCTTTTCACTCACCTCATAGTTCTAGCCGACCTGTGACAATGAGACTGTCACAGGTCGGCTCAGTAGATCGGGAAGTGAGCGAACACATACCGGCGTTCGCTCACCTCTCGATCCTGTCACGGCTGTCTGCCGTGACAGGGGAGGGGCTGTATTCCCCCCTCCCATATGCCAGCGCTTACTGGCGGTACTGACGGGGGAGGGGCTGTATTCCCCCCTCCCCGCTCCGATATGCCAGCGCTTACTGGCGGAACTGACGGGGGAGGGGCGCAGGTACAGCTGGCTCTGCCTCTAGATAGGCAGAGCCAGCTGTCAGTCACGCAGCTGGGCGGATCCCGGCACAATTTTCGGGATCCGCTTCAGCTGCGGCGTCTCAGTATACCGCGAGTTGTAGCTCGCGGTATACTGAGCTTAGGGTAACGGGAGGACGCTAGTTTGTGTCCTCCCGTTACCCTGAGAACTATGGGGAAAAGCCTTAACCCCCTAGTTCTCCTTTAATCATTTTCCCCAAAGTGTTTCTTTAACCCCCAAGCATTATTTTCTGCAAACAGAAACCCAGAGCCAATGACTAAAAGTATACACCAAGTATAAAATAAAAGTACACAACTGGCAAAACATTGGTACATATAGCAAATAGGTTGATAAAGCAAATAAAAAGCAATACAATATGGATTCAAAATCTGCAAAGTAAAAATTAATGCCCTTATTCAAATGTCTATCACAAGATATTAACTGCTTTTTTAATGTGACAGAATCCTGGAGTTTTAGCTCTTTTGTCATACTTAGACAATAAACCTTGGCCAAAGCAAAACTTGTGATGAGAATCACATCATGAAATGTTTTACTTACCAGATGCAGCATCTTTATTTTTTTCTATTGTTTCCACGGGTTCCATATGCAGATCAGTAAAATGCTTGATGCAAAATCTATTCTCAATTTGATATAACAGCGCTGGGCAAAGGTAAGAAAACTGATCTGGTGAAATTGGAGAGTCGATATTCAACCCATAATAATTAAGGAGCTGGGTGACATTCAAACACTACAAAAGAGGGAAACAAAAAAAAAGGAGCAAACTTTAGATTTTGTACATACGTCACTAAATTTAGTTTTGATGCATTAAAGTGGTGAAAACAAAAGTCCACAAAACAAGCATACAAGAATGGATACAATTGTGTGGCATTGACAGGAACGCTAAAATGACAAGTTAAATAAGTGGCATTAACATGTTAGCACTAGGCAAAAATTGCCTTTCCAGTGTTAAAGTATAGATAATAAAAATATTATAATATAAACGCACAAATTCAAACCCCCTTCACTTCTTTCAAATTTGGTTATGTTGCAGCCTGATACTACAGTTTAAAATGATTAAATCTACAATCAGTACACCATAACAAAGTGAAAACAGAAATTTAGAAGGGTTTGCATATGTATGAAAAAAGGCAAACCTGAAATATCACATTGGCATAAGTATTCAGACACTTTGCAACACTTGACATTTAGCTCAGGTGCCTCCCATTTCTCTGGGTCGTTGCTGAGATTGACACCTTGATCGGAGCCCACCTGGGGTAAATTACATTGATTGGACACGATTTGGAAAGGCACACACCTCTCTATAGAAGGCCTCCCAGCTGACAATGCATACTGTATCAGAGCAAAAGTCATGAGGCCAAAAAGGAACTGCCTGCAGAGCTCAGACACGATTATTGCAAGGCAGGTTTCCAAGAGAACAATGGCCTCCATAAAAATGAAATGGAAGAGGTTTGGCACAATCTGGATTGCTCTAAGAGCTGGTCGCCCGGCCAAACTGAGAAAATTACGGGAGAAGGGCCTTAGTAAGAGGTGACCAATAACCCAATTCTCCTGTGTGGAGAAGGGACAAAGCTTCAGAAGGACAATCATTGCAGAACTCCCATCCACTCATCTGGTCTTTATGGCAGAGCTGCTAGACAGAAGCCTCTCTTCGGGGGGTAGGGCGGGACCAAGATTCTCTGGTCTGATGAAACCAAGATTGAACTGTTTGGCCTTAGTTCTAAACCATATGTCTGGAGGAAGCCAGGCACTGCTCATCACCTGCCCAATAACATCCCAACAGTAAAGCATGGTGGCAGCATCATGCTGTAGGTCTGTCAGCAGCAAGGACTGGGAGACTGGCCAGGGTTCAGAGATACTCAATGAAAACCTATTCCACAGCGCTCAGGACCTCAGACTGGGCCGAAGGTTCACCTTCCAACATGACAACGATCCTAAGCACACAGCAAAGACAATACAGGAGTGGCTAAGGGACAATGTCATAGAGAGGCCCAGTCAGAGCTCTGATGAACCCAATTGAACATCTCCGGAGACCTGAAAATGGTTGTCCACAGAGGGTCCCCTTCCAAACTGACTGAGCTGGAGAGGATTTGCAAGAATGGCAGAAAATCCCTCAATCCAGGTGTGCAAAGCTTGTCACATCATACCCAAAGGGCGTGTTCACACCAAATGCAGACCAGATCTGCATCAGTTTCTGCACACGCAGTGTGTTCTGCCGCGTTTTTAATGCGCGCAGGGCCGTTTTTGTAAAATGGGCTTTCAGTGCGTTCCAGGGCGTTTGCATGCATTTTTTATGAGTTTGCATGCGTTCCAGAGCAGGAAAAATAGGGCTTGCTGCAGTTTCCTTACATGCTCTGGAACTGAACGCTGCGGTGTGAACTAGAGTGCAATTGGAATATATTGGACGCAGTTTTGATCCGTTCTGTAACTGCTCTGCTCCTGAAACGAGCTTGCTGTGAACTAGCCCAAAAAGACTCAATGCTGTAATTGCTCCCAAGGGTGCTCCAACAAAGTACTGAGTTAATGGTCTAAATACTTAAAATGTGATATTTGAATTTATTTAAAAAAAAACAAAAAAAAAACTGAGACAATTCTAATACTCCGTTTTCACTTTGGGGTACTGAGTGTAGATTAACGGGAACAAATTATAGCTATACATCTGTCTATCTATAAAAACTGTGGCCCCTCATGTAAAGGATGAACTGGCAGAATGGTGTCAGTAGCCATTTTGGGACTTATAAAGGAGTGAGCATTCCCAAGGGGTGCAGTATGGTATTAGGGGCTATTTACTAGTAATGGGCCACATATTTAGTGGAGGGTTGCTCAGGGGATAGCCAGCCAAGCATGACTGACATACTTTCCAGATACACTGTATGATCAGGGGTCCAAGTAGCTAAAGGAATTTTAGCATAGTGGCCCCTATTTTTCCAGGGGCCCATCATCACCCAGACTGGGGCCACTTAGCTTCAAGGACCCCTTTATTATTAGGAAGAAATCACATTGATCCAGGTAGCCTCTTTATTCAGTCTATTCTAGGAGCTATAGGAAGTGCTGCAAGCTAATGGGACAAGACATGCTTGGATTTGTAGCTGTGGAGGGGAATCATACAACAGGCATACAAGGTATGCTGGGAGTTGTAGTTCTACAAGGGCACTGGCAGAATTGGCATGCTGGGAGCTGTATTTCTATAAGGAATGAAAGGATTGGCATGGCATGTCGATTGTCATATGCAGGGTCTTGGGTTTCTAAAGCTGGCTCCTAGGTGAGATTTGACCAGGCCTGAAAAAAAAAAAAAAAAAAAAAAAAAAAAAAAAAAAAACCCCGCAATTATT